GTGGGTGTGTTGAAACATTTTCCCTGCTGTTCTTTCAGTTTTTGATATTTCTTTGTAGTTCTGCCCTCATTTCTTCAGGAGTTTTTGTATTTTGCCAGAGTTAGCGTTAAGATAGTCTTTGTTAACATTATGTTGATACATTTAGCTTACATTTTAAGGTTTTTGAAGCTATTTTAAAACACAGGCTTAAAGTCAGGGCACAGACGCGTGTTTGCCAATGTGCAGACCATCAAATCAGTGAAATTACTGCAGCGTTGGTGCCTCTTGCAGCATTTAAATTAAAAGATCTTGTAAATAATATTACCCTTTTTGTGACGCAGATTGTCCAGCTGTTTGTGCTTTGGTTTTAAGGACTGGTTTTCTAGCATTTTATTTGATTGCTTTTAAGTGATATTCACAAAATGATCTGTGCGCCTTCTATCCACGCACCATGCTGGTAAATCTCACTACCTTAGTCCATCTACACTACCTTGGTGTGACATCTTTGCGGCTATGTCCATCTTTTATAAACAATCTGAAATGTCTATCACATTTCATAACACTTTTCTGCCCTGGAAAAGGTTATATTGACCATTGTTTTGCACTTAACAAGCTTTTTGCAGTCTCTACATCACAAGAAGTGATTGTTAGAGCACAAAAACTACTTTCATCTACAGACTTGGGTAGAATGTTAGAGGACTACAGGACAACAACACGGCGACAATGGCGAGCTGTAAAAACTGACAATCAAACCCACGTGCATGAAGTGTTCTGATTTCAGATAAAAATAGAGTCACCATACACATAGCGCTTTGACGGGGATGAGTGATTGATGCTCAAAGATGTTGCCATGACAGACTGGCATACGGGAGAAAAACACTGAGGCAGAATGATTGGCTTCTCCTCTTTGATGTTTCTGTCTGACTTATTTGTGATGGCTGGTTACATCTTCAAACCCGTTCTGCGTTGACAGTTGTAATGACCCCAAACATTTCATCTGTCATAACTGAGTAGCGCGCTCACAACTTCTAGTGAAAAGACTTCTATGACCGAACTTCATCAAATATCCTCACATCCAGCCAAAAGGGCAGACGTTATTCATTTCCATTTGCCATAGGCTTTAGGTTTGATGCAATTAGCAAGAAAAGAAGCTATAACTTTAATATCCAAGATTGAAAACAGAGGTAGGAACAAAAAGTTGCAAAATCAGAGAAAATACACGAAAACACCAAGAATGAAAATAAAGGGGAAGTTGTTTTTTAAATTATTTTTAAGAGATGGTTTTTAACTACAGGACTGTCACCGGGATGACATTTTACAGCCCAACTCAAACCAGATTGTCCCAACACCATAAAAAGGGGGGGGGAGACTGTGGTGCTCTGGCTCAGGCAGTCCAAACAGCACATTTTATCTCCAAAGCTGGTTCAGTAAAACCATGTGCAAAACAGATAAACCGTTCAAAGCCTGCATTTGTATCCCTGTTTGTATTTTTGTTGTGTATATGTGCAGACCAAAACATGCCAGTTCCATCCCGTCTGCAGGGCGGGAAGCGGTTTCCCATGGTTCTGTTGGGAAGCAGCTTTCATGTGGAAATGGTCTCCGGGTCCCTTTAGCCCCTCTGTTGTGACAGAGGATAATGAATTTCACAACATCTGCCATTTGTTAACCCTGTTTGGTGTAACTGATCTCCTTTTAATCCATGGACTTCCAATGTGTGCGCAGCTCTGCAGCTGGACTCAAGCAGATGGATCCCACGGCCTCTCTGGGGCTGCAGAGTAGTACTGGACTAGCAAATCTGTAGAGAACACAGACATCTATCTTTGACTGCTGTACTCATTACATTGCATGGACAGTAAATGAAGAACATTTTGAAAGGAGGTTTGTTCTCATGTTGTAGCTATCTAAAATGTTCATTAGAAAGGCTCAAAAAGGCCAAAATGTATTTGATATTAGGGATTTTATAATCACTTTGTTCAAAGATACTATCCAGGATTGTGATACACAATAACATACACCGTACAACACACGTAAATGACTCCAAACTTTTTTTTCTGGAAAGAAAATGTGTATGTTCATGAGTGACTATAAAGCTGTACCAATCATTCCTGGTCTGTAAACAATCCAAAATGAAACTAAGCTCCTCAACTTTGTGGAACATTTTGGTGTCTTTCAGCTTATTATTTTGGTTTTAGGGCCTGAAACAATTTCCTCAATTTCCTAACAGCATTTACTATGTAGACAAATCCAATCTCCAACTCATATTTGCTGGAAGTGTAAACAGGCTAAAAATTTGTTTCTGCTGCCTTCAGAGGTTTAAGGGAGGATGAAAATCCATTGTTTTTTGGGGCCCACAAATGATCCTTTATTTGTTTGTTTAATTTTAGTCAAGGAGGAAAGAAAACACAATTACCCCTCAGAGAATTGTGGGCATATTGCTAGGAAACACTTTCCCTGACCGTTCTATTTCATAAGGAACTCAGTGGCTTTTCATCACAGGGAGGGTCTAAATCAAGTTCCAAGTGAATTACAGCTGTATGTGCATTTTCATTTGCACAAGTGACACCTAAGAAAACCACCAGTCTCTGAATTACTACACTAAATTTTCTGGTTATTTTAATTTTAAATATGGCCATGGATAACATGCAACTGATTTTTTCCCCAACACAATAACAGCGAATATGTAAAGAATGTAATATAGTAATTTGCTGGGGTTGAGTTTGCTAAGATAGGAGACTCAAACGATAACAGAGTATAAATATCACGTCTTCATCTATGACCAGGAATGGCTCAAATAGTGGATTCTGTCAATCTTCATTCCTTTCGAGTTTTCCACTTCATCTTTTGCCCTTTTCATAAAACCTGGAATGTGCATCAAAGAATGTAGACTATCTTTCCGCCATGAATAAAACATCTGTCATTCATCAGACAGTACAATATGTCCCAATTTAACCGAGTATAACAGCTCCAAAACGGACAGGGAAGCTCCTGCAGCTACAGAGTCCTGCGAAGTCAACATTCAACCAAATATCATCTCTCTTTTCTTTACAGAGGTGTCTGCTATTTTAACAAATTTTAAATTTAAGTTTTAAGAAAGACCTCAATATTAACCGCTGTGTTTTAGAGACACTTTACTTCACCCGTGTTGAAGATGGCAATATATTCTGCCAACTCATTACACAAACCATTCAGGGTAATTTGTGGAGGGTTCTGCTCCAGTTTACTACATTGCTGTAGGATAAGAAAAAATAAAAGTCTACTAAAGTCTGCATCCAGAGGCTGGAGAGTTGACAAGTGGCATAATTGCACAATTTCCAAGTAAACTACCATATTTATACTATTCATTTATTTTGTCTTCGTTTTGTATTTGATACTTTTATTTCTCTGCCACAGTTTGTTTATAAGCAGGCAAAGAATACGGTGAGTAAAATTCCTGCAGGTGATAGCACAAATATACTTTTTAATGTTTGTGACTTCAGAAATATTGTTTTTCTTTTTGTGATGTCTTGCACAACCCAAATAACTTTTTACATTTAGAAAAATATTATAGTTTATGGCTAAAAATGTCTCTGCATAAAACATCTCCAGAATTTCCTTGGCTTATCATGGTTAGCTGCATATAGAAGACATGTAGAGGACATGTGTCTGGGTCTTAAGACACTGATTTCAATCACTGAAATAATGTTATGGAAAAAAGTGCAATAAAAGTATACCCAGTGCATTAAAATTAATATATATGGATCATTTAGTATTTAGTATTTATTTATTTATTGTCAAGAACAATGAAATTGCGTTTGGGGCTTCCATACAACCCCCCAAAAAAGAAGAAAATAATAAATACCCCTTAAAACCCAAGTGTACATATTTAACCCAGTGTGACTCCAATGCAATAAGACAATCCTTAGCAATAATGTTCGTAGAAATTCAGACAAAGACCTGAGAAACATGACAAAATACAACAATGCAACCCATTCAATATTATTGTACTGTGAGATATGATATCAGATATGATAGTTATCTAAGCCGTGGAGATCTTCAACTAACATCCGAGTATCTCATCCCCCCGGAGATCGTTAAGCAACCCCCGGGGCTACCCGCAACAGCAAGCCGCAGGAGGAGACGTTGCGAGCGGAGGCAGAAGAGAGGCAAGCGGGGAGGCCTGTGGGCACGGCTAAAGACTAGTCCGTTTAAACCACCACTCCCGATCATATTCCTCTCCAACGCCCGTTCAATCCGTTACAAACTGGATGAAATACGACTGCAGATCGCCACTCGATCTGGTTAAACACACCAGTATGCAACACTCTAGGTGTATTAAAGGGTTGCTGATGAATACAGTCAACAGTTGTCTGATGTCAGCTCTAAAAACTAATCTTGATGTAATCCGAGTAAAACTGAAAACCTTTGTTTTAAATTTAGCATTGAGTTTGACCAACTTTGGTTGTAGGAAAGAAAAGCTCAGCATGTTTACTGTGTGACATTTATAGTGGACTAAAAAAAAAGGAAAAAACAAGCTGTTACTTCAGGTTTTTTCTAATATTGCACCACTTGCAAATTTCCTGGCTTCATAAAGGTGCAATACTACATTTTTTCTTTTCATCATGAACTTTCCCTTGTTGTATGTGTTTATACTCACAGTACTGGAGTTGGACATATCTTCTAAGCATCTCGATTTTTTATTTTATTTTATTTTTTACTTATCCATATATTAAAGGAAAATGAACATTCTGTATATGATTCAGGCGTGCTGAATTATCAATACATAACGAGTGTGGTTAACATGTGCTCCCTGTATTTGTATGTGGCTTAAGATTGATTGAATGATTTCTCCAGGTGAACGATTATTATCATATGTTATTTTAAAGGGGGGTCATGGCAAATGGCAGTTATGCAGGCCTGGGTCCGTGATTGAAGTTTATTTCAAAGGTTATGTCGCCTCCTTCCGGCTGGAAGGGCGGCCGTACCCATAGACATGGGTATTACCACCGCCGCACCGACAGGTGACGCTGCAAGTGTATCTACCTCTGGTGAAATTTTACTTCAGCTACCACAGTGCTCAGCCACAGCAGTTGGCCGCCGGTGCAGACCAAAATATAGACAATGGGCAAGAAGCACAAAAAGCATAAGTCCGAGAAGCATGGATATGAAGGTATTTCATCCCATACAGTTTAACTGCTTATCAGAATAAACCGTTTTTACATTTTAAACTAACTCGTAGACCCTGTGTTTTTGTATTGTAGCACTGTTAGCACGACAATAGAGCTAGTTGGTAAACTAGCTTATTGCTAAACTACCTTCCCGACTTAGTTATATGGATATCTACACGTTTCCATCATTTTTTAAAATGAAAAATAATAATACTGAGGTGGTGATGTGTGAATACAATACATTGTTCGCTAGACGTGCAGCGTAAGTTAAATGACTTCGAGTTAGTTGTTAGCGGCTATTGTTTCTAGCTTTCCTAAGCTGCCGTATGTTCTCACTGTAGTCACACACCATTATTTTGATTATTAATCGATATTTGTTTGTACAGAATATGGAGACAGACCACTGAAGCTGGTGCTGAAAGTGTCCGGAAATGAAGTGACGGCAGGAAGCTCGAGCCTTGACACTTTTTATGACGAACAGCCGGCTGACTTTGACAAACCCAAAGACAAGAAAAAGAAGAAGAAAAAGGATAAAGAGAAAAGCTTTGGGTCACCAGAGGAGGAAAAGGGGAAGAAGAAGGTAAACATCATATCTGTTGGTATAGATAATTTAGCATATAATGTTAAATATTTTAAAAGGGTAGTGTGTGTGTGAATTTAATGTATGTATGTTTGTTTGTTTGTTTATTTTAGGTAACTAAAAAGAAGAAAGGGCAGGAGGCAGATGGAGATGATGACCGGGAGCAGAGCAGGACTCCTATACGTTCAGAGATTGATAAACAGGAAGGTAATGTTAAATATTTCCCAAATTAATACTAACAGTTATTCTGAAGGTTGTTGAAAGAATCTTAAGTTATTTTGCTCCTTTCCACAGAAAAAGAACAGACTCCTCTGCAGGAAGCTTTGAATCAGCTCATCAGGCAGCTCCAAAGGTGCAGCAGCATTTATCACCTATTGATCAGGGATAATTGTGCATTTACATTTTTATTTGACATTTAGTAATATCTATAAATAATGAGGTGAGCAACTCACCGCATTAGGTAATGATATTTCTGCAACTAAAAACTGTTTGTGTCTCCTCTGCAGGAAAGACCCGAACGCATTCTTTTCATTTCCAGTGACAGACCTCATTGCTCCTGGTTACTCTGCAGTCATCAAGCGTCCCATGGACTTCAGTACAATGAAGGACAAAGTAAAGAAAGAGTGCTACCAGTCACTGGATGAACTCAAGGTACATGTCTGTGTACTATTGCATTCGGTTAGAAGAAATAAATAAAACCGTTCTTTCAAGTTTAAAGACACAGCTCTTGTAATTGCTGATACTCTAGCTTACTGTAGGACACACTGACGTGGTGCTTATGGAGGACTCCCAGGTCCTTTTACATCCACTAATGATACTTGTTTTGGGTGAAAAAATTAGTATTTTTTCCCTTCTTAATGTATGTTCTGATACTTGATGTTTTTTGCCTGTCTTTGATGACAAGTAGCTTCAGTGCAATTTACAGATTATACTTCTTTGTTTGATCAAACTGCTAAAACTTTGTCAATGATGTCTTCACCTTATTCAAAAAAAATTTAAATCATGTTAAAAATGTTAAGTATATTTGTTTTCCCTAAAGGCCACATTTGAACACATTTTTAGTGTGTTTTAACTAACAGAAGCTGTTGTATTTGTCATGCTTTAAAATGTTACGCATGTCATTGATGCAGGTTGATTTCAGGATTATGTGTGAAAATGCCATGATTTACAACAAACCTGAGACAATCTACCACAAAGCAGCACGGAAACTGTTACATTCAGGAATGAAGATCTTGAGCCAGGTATCGTGACCTTGGACCGTCATTTTCTTTGACCTCTTTTACTTGGGGGTAATTTGGGTTCATCAAGTTTTTAAAAAATTAAAAATTAAGGAGCTTTATTTTAAAACAGTGTACATGATAACAGAAAACTTCTGTTTGAAAGCCCCCAAAAATATATTATTTCAAATAATTTTTTGTGCATCTAAATTTTTATAAAGCCTAATGTATGACAAACTTTGCAGTAATTTTAAAGTTGTAAAGACGATTTGTGTCTACATTAGCTGTTGTACTTTCTTTGTAGACATCTGTCAGCAATAAAACCTGCACACAAACATACTGCATTCATATGCACCAATTTTTCTTTTATAATTATATAACCATAACATTATTTGAATGGCACTTTTTAAAACACATAGTTCCATAGTAATAGTACAGACAGAAAATGAAACATACAGTCTTACATTCGTTCTTACATACGAAGGGGTAAACATTTTAAGAAAAGTTAACATATAAAAATTTGCTGTCATCAGTCTTTTAAAACAAGGAAGCTTGTATCAAAGTTAGTGAGCTGCAACCTCAAAAGCTTGGTCGTCTCTGGATTTAAAATAGAAGAGTGTGGAATAGTTCACAGTAGGGCTGCTCGATTATGGCAAAAATGATAATCACGATTATTTTCACTGAAATTGAGATCACGATTATTTGACGATATTTATTTAACCCTTTAAGACCTACTATAGAACCAAGTCCACCAGAGCTTATATTATTTTTTTACATGCTGTAGTGCCATTTGTGGGAGCATTTCAAGTTGCTATACATCAGTACAACTGTTATAGCCCATATTTTAATAATATGTATGCATTAAGTCCATAGTAATTACATAAATTGCAAAAAAGTGCAATAAACTACAAAAAAAATTGAAAATCGCTTTTGTTTTGTTTACATATATTTCTACTTGGAGAAATTTAAGAGGTTTATCCCTCAAAACTTTAAATACAATAAAGTTGCAAAAAATAGTTTCCCACCACAGGAAATTTATTTTGAGTGTTTTCATAGTTTTATTTTGGAGATACAGCAATTTTTATATACTGCAGGAAAAACAAAAAACAATCCTATGATGCAAATTTGCAAAGAAAACAGCATGTGCATCATTTCACTGTGGGAAGTGTTACGAACAGCTGATAGGAACGGCAAAGCGTGTTTCTGGAATATTATGTTTTTGTTCCTGCAAGCGCTTTTTATGCAATTTTTGCAAAGCTATATGTGGAACGAAACCGTGGCCGAGGACAAGCTGATGGCATCAGATGTAAATACAACTCCTCCGGTTTCATATGCAAAACAAATCATTGCGCTAGCTTACACGGTTCAGATTCTACAGGGATTTAAAAATAGTTACACAAAGCGGAGCATGCTGCTCTGACGGCTTTAAAGGGTTAACAATGACTTTAAAAAAATAATATAAAATAGTGTGCAACACCACTGAAGTTTTTCTTTTAAACTCTCTTTTCAACCAACGGCAGTCACTCTCCAAATAACTTCTGCTTAGCTTTCCGAGCTTCCCTCGGGTCCTCTTAATCAGCGGTCTCCAACCTTTTTTGCGCCACGGACTGGTTTATGCCCGACAATATTTTCACGGACCGGCCTTTAAGGTGTCGCGGATAAATGAGGGAGGGGCTAATAATCGGCTCAGTCATTTTTAATGATCGTTGAAAGCCCAGATCGTAATCGTGATTAAAATTCGATTAATTGAGCAGCCCTAGTTCACAGACTGTAATCAGATGACTGGAGAGGCCAGTTGTTGGAATGTGGTGTCACTAGCACTGTTATATAGACAGGAGCCTGGCCATGTAGGGCTTTATGTGTTATTAATAACATTTTAAAATTAACTAAAATGTTTTGTTTTTGTGAGCAGCAGAGCTGCTGCATTCTGAACAATTTGAAAACAGGCTCATAGTAATCTAAAGATTGTGGCTCAAGAGTTGGCAGTTCATCTTGTAATCGGAAGGTTGCCAGTTCGAGCCCCGGCTCAGACAGTCTGGGTCGTTGTGTCCTTGGGCAAGACACTTCACCACTACTGGTGGTGGTGGTCAGAGGGCCTGGTGTCGCCAGTGTCCGGCAGCCTCGCCTCTGTCAGTGTACCCCAGGGCAGCTGTGGCTACAATGTAGCTTGCCATCACCAGTGTGTGAATGGGTGAATGAATGTAGTGTAAAGCGCTTTGGGATCCTTAGGGACTAAGTGAAGCACTATACAAATACAGGCCATTTACATAAAAAGTGAGTTACAATAATTGAGACAGGAGAAAAGTGAATTATGTACTAAAAGTTCCAAAATAGCATTCAAATAAGGACCCAGGTGTTCTCTACTGATAAATAGCCTGCTGTAAAATAATCTGTAAGTCAGGCTGCTGTAACCTTGCTTTAGGAACAAAGCAACAGTTGGGGGCAGCAGATGCTCACAAACTCAGCACCACAGTTTTCTTCTCCTTGGTTATTTTTTTTCTCTTTCTTAAACCCAAGTAAAAAGCATGTTTTTCACCTTCCCTAATAGGAAAGGCTGGACAGCCTGAAGCAAAGCATAGATTTTATGGCTGGTCTTGACCCTTCTGCCAAACAACCTTTGAAATCTGAGGAACAAACGAGCACCTTTCTGGACCAGAACAAGGAGGGACCTGCGACTACAGACAGCAGCGAGAGGTCACAGACACCCAGCACTCCCAGGTCCTTTCACATGTTGACTTTGCACACGTGTCCTTAAGCCTTGATGCCACATTTAAGTGTAGCTTGGAGAGCCCAGACTGCAAGAGGGATTTTAATAATACTCCTGACCATACTGTCAATATTTTAACCCCTTAAAATTACAGTTGGCCTGACACAATTACATATTTGTAAAATTAAAAGAGTAGAAGGTTTCACATTTGTATCAGCAGAACTGAGAAATATGAAGAGATGCAGCATATGAGTGGAAACAGTTTCCCATAAGTGCACCGTGTTGATTCCTGTGAGCTTGTTTTCCACTGTGGAGCTGGAGGCTGAGAATGTGGGGAATGCCTGATGACATGCTGGGGCTTGTTTTCTCTTGGCTATCATCTTTTACAGCTGTGTTTTAACTTGGTGATGTAACAGAACCCGTATGCTGACATTATGCATTTTATTATGACTCGCTATAAGAGGACGAGCCCCAGAAAGCCACGTAGTAGGCTGTTTTTCATTCAGTTACCTTTTATTTCGTAAAATATGCTGTCTCAAAATCTGTTCGTTGACGTCAGCAAACGCTTACAGGTAAATTATCTGAGGAATGAACACAGATTGTGGGCATACAATGAACAGAAAAACTCCTGCAAATTTCCTCTCTGCTGTGTGTATACTTTTTGTTGTTGCCACAAAGTACATTCACGGTCACAGTGTCTCATCATCTGGCATCTTTCAATTTGTTTTTCATTTGCAGACAGGACAAAGACTCTAAGGACGAAGCAGCAAAAGCAGAGAAAGAGCTTCAGGAAATACGCAAGGTCATTGAGAAGTCTGGAGGAAAGCTGTCCAACAGAGTGCTGCAGTCTGATGTGAGAAAACAGGGTTAAACACAAGAACACGCTTTCAAACTGATATATCTGATCTTTTAGATCATAATGTTTCAGATGGCATTGTGGTATTACAGGTCCCATTCTCTTAAGAATGTTCTAAATAACTTTGTGGAATGACTTGCTCATAAATCTTAAGCAGTTTTTACTGATTTAGACAAAATTTCCAACACTAAATACATTATCACACAGTATAACGCAGTATTTTGCACCATGGTTATCTTATGAATCAAAATAGTAACCATGGAAAGGAGAAGTTAAACTCATGTATAGCGGAAATGTAATTTCTTAAGCATAAATCCCAATTGTTTACACTTAAGAGCGGATGCAATTTAACTCGCTTTAGAGTACGTAGCCAGCAAGAGCTTGTTGAAATGGTAAATGGCCTGTATTTTATATAGCGCTTTACTAGTCCCTAAGGACCCCAAAGCGCTTTACATATCCAGTCATCCACCCATTCACACACACATTCACACACTGGTGATGGCAAGCTACATTGTAGCCACAGCCACCCTGGGGCGCACTGACAGAGGCGAGGCTGCCGGACACTGGCGCCACCGGGCCCTCTGACCACCACCAGTAGGCAACGGGTGAAGTGTCTTGCCCAAGGACACAACGACGAGACTGTCCAAGCCGGGGCTCGAACCGGCAACCTTCCGATTACACGGCGAACTCCCAACTCTTGAGCCACGATCGCCCGTGTTGAAAGCAGTAATTGAATGAAATGATCTGAAGGGTAGATGAAAAAAAAGACATGAGAAGAAGCAGGATTAAGAAAAGTCATTGCAGATTAGATAAGGAAAATCTAATATGAGACATATATTAATCCTTTCAGATTTCCATTACATATAAATTGTAAATATTTACTTATGTTTTCTTTTTTTCTTCTCAGTGAGGGGAAAAAAGTAAGACAAAGCGAACCAACTAACCCCGGCAGATCCTCGTTTAACCCCATAGGGCCAGATTTACTAATATGTTGCACCAGAAAAAAAAGTTCTCTCAATATTTACAAATGGACAAAATTGTAAGAGTTGTTAACCTTTTGAACTTTAGCGCTATTTGGCGATTGCACTCACGCGCTATTTTGCCCCATTTAGGAATTTTGGCCCATAAAGTTGAATCAAGATATACTGATGTTTCCTTTTATTAATAAACAGATCATAGTGGAAGAATAGTTTGTTTTTTTACTTCACATTTTTGTAATTTCTTTAGAATTACAGAACAGCTGCTTAAGGTTGAAAAGACTTGAGTTACATGTTCTGGACACTGTGTTTTTAGTTTTGTGATGTAATCAGTGCTCACTGTTATTATTTTTACAGGCTGTGTGTGCAGTCTGTGACCACAGAGATTTAGAGCATGAATAAAAATGCTTTGCCGCTTTTGTTTTGCCAAAAGAGCTTTGGCGCTCTACTTTAAAAATTAGGCTTTGTGTTTAAAAACCAGTAAGGGCCCCAGTTTAAAATATATCCACACCTTCTTTTTTGTTTTAGACTCTGGAGACGATGTTGTAGAGTCAGTGCTGGTTATTTATCTGATGTCCATTGTGTCTTATCTAATTAACTACAATCCAATAATGTAATATTTTCTCATTATTTTTATTCCTCTTTCACTATCACTGTTTGTTTTGTAGTTGGAGTTTGCAAGGCGGAAGTCAGATGGCTCCACCACTCTGGCTATCCTCAACCCAGCAGATCCCTCAGCAGGAGGTGAGACCATTTTGGAACTATAAAAGAGCTCAATTAGACCAATTATTACAATTTGCCACAGCGGTGGATGTTCATATTGAATGTAAAAAGATCAGCACATATACCATTAATCCCTTTAGGCCAAAAGTGCAGGCTTGAATTTTGAGTCAAAGGGGTTTATGTAGGACAACCAATCAGAAGGAAACAGCTTAAAGAAAGAGGAGCTAAAACAGTCTGTTTTCAGTTGGAGTTATACTTCTGTGTTAAATCTACATCACAGAGACATTATAAGCGCAAAATGTTCTGAAACGCTAGAAATGTAACTACACGACTCCATCACTGCAGCCCACACAGTTATAAATGAAAACACCATCAGCTTCTGTTGTAAGCTCTGGCCGTGGATGAACTGAAAGGCTGCACCACTCTTGAAGTCCAAAAATACAAATATAGAAGCATAATATATCCACTTTACACAACAACATCTTATACACAAAAAAGCGAAATATAAGTTTCCTTTGGCTTCTTTGATTTTAATTTCTGTAAACTATGACTGGGAAATTTTAATGGTTGATTAGTATTTCCAGACCTATAAAAGAAATGATGATGCAGCCAGAGACTTGAGGGGAAAAAACTGTGTTTGCTGTTGCAGATGTGGGTTATTGTCCTGTGAAACTCGGCATGATGTCCAACCGGCTGCAGAGCGGTGTGAACACCTTGCAGGGTTTCAGGGAGGACAAGAGGAACAGGATCACCCCAGGTACGGCTCTACCTTTATGTTTCTCCATATTGTTGATATCAGAGTCTCAAAGGAAAGACAAATTATCTGTGTGCGGCACTTTCCACAGTGTCCTACATGAACTATGGGCCATTCACCTCCTACGCGCCAACCTACGACTCCAGCTTCGCCAACATCAGCAAGGAAGATTCTGACCTTATCTACTCTCTCTATGGAGACGAGTCCAGCCTGCAGGGCTCAGACAGGTATGAACAGCGTGTCTGTATAAGGACCCGAGCTCTGTGTCTTTTAAGCAGCGAGGCATTCCTCACTGATTACTTTCCAGATGTTCCTCTTTTTCCACTGGATTTTCTGTATCAGGAGGAGGTAAACTGTAAGCGGAGCCTCACCCTGACTCAAACCCTTCATCTCTTCGTAAACTTCAGTTTCATCTTGTTTCTGTTTTATTCTCTCATGATGTTCATGCTCATAACAGGTTGGTACATCTTGTGGAACTCCAAAGTGTTCAGAATGAAAAAGATCTAGGGAATATAAAAGCCATAAAAAGGTTTGAGTAGGTGAAGCTACATGGGCTCGTTCTATGATGACGGCTGCAGCCAGTGGGGACCATTAGTTATCCATGACAGAATTTTAATTTCAATTTTATTTTTCTACATAATTTTTAGGATAATTTTAAGGAAATACATATATATATATATATATATATATATATATATATATATATATATATATATATATACATATACATATATATACATATATATATATGGTTGATCCTTAAATCATTCAACTGAAAAGTTCAGTAAATGCAAGGTGATTTAAAAAAAAAAAAGGGGGGGGGTAAGCAATCAATTTTTCCAAGGGGCTATGGGAAACTGGGACTACTACATATTACTATATGTATTTAGCTTATTGTTACCACATGCTCGTCTCTTGTGTCTGTTTTTTCCTCTAAACGGAAAAGCACAGTATGATTTTTGTTTACAAATTAATGAAAATCTTTAATTACCATTAGTAGCACGTCCTTATTTGACTGGTTGTGTAGGCGGTGCAGTTATTTTTCCACCAATTTGCAGGAGTGTCAATATCAACTACTTGTCATTATTCTCAGTCAACAAAATGATTCAGACTTTTACACCGCTGCTGCATAGGAAATAACTAGTAAATAACTAGTAAAGTTTCATTTGGTTGGTTGTTTGGCAGCTTGTCAGAGTTCCTGGCCAAATCAGAAGAGTATGTGTACAAACTGGCAGACAACCTCCTGGATGCAGTGACAAACGGAGAGCATTCAAGAATCTTGAAGGACACCGAGCAAGTAAGCTTTTCTCTGACGTCATTTGTTGTTTTTTGTTTCAGGACAGGAAAGTCTTCCAGTTGACTAAATAAATGTTTTTGTTTTGCTTTGGGGGGGGTGTTTTTGTCATTTTTTTTCCTCCAGCAAGTAGAGCAGCTGTCAAATATACAAGAGGACAAGGATACCGTGGAGGTGAGAGAATCTGGAGCTGAAACCCTGATCAAAAAATGTGCAGCATGTAATAGAAATGTGCGTGAGGTGAGTCGAGTGACGAGTGCCAGCGTTCGCTATGTAATACAAAACCGGAGCCACTCATCCTCATCAGCACTGCTTTTGAAGCTGCTGCTGTTCAGTGCAAAGCATATCACGTGCTCCTCCATTATACCCCATGGATTTAATTTGTGTTCTAGATGGCCTCAGCTGATGACTGCTGCATCCACCAGCTGTGTCAACATAGCAGGGGCCTGGTGTAAAGATGGAAAGAACATTTCCTTTTAAAACACAGCAGTACTACATGCTCAAGGCCCACTGTTGGAGAATTTTGAGAGGACTGTTTTCCTCTACTGCCCACTGACTGTGAAGCTGAATCGCTCCTCAGAGCAGTAGAGGAAACCAGAGCAGGGGCCCACCGTCAGACAAACAGCGGCCCTTTGTGCTAGCTTCTTGCTGTTTTTGGCCGCCCTCCAGTTTACTCTCATCCCCTGCTCGGGTGTTGCAGCTTTTGATTAGGCCTGATTTTATTGTAGTGAAGAAGTAGCATGACAAAAGAAGCTTCAAAAGATTGTGATGTTCCCTTTTATGTCCAGTGTGGAATGCATTTTTCTAATCTAACTAACCATGTTGTTTCCCCTCTGTCTTTGGTAGGTAGCTGACCCCCAAACATGTGACAGACTGGATTTCCTGCGCTCTGCTGCAGGCCTGCAGATGACTGAGGAGCTTTCTGAGGGTAAAACGTCTGACTTTTTTTTTTCTGTATTTAAAGTGGCAGCTAATTACACTTTTAGGAATGATCAGAACATCTTTAAAATGTTTAATTTGGTTCCTTTAGAAAGCACTATAAACACATGTCATTAATACTTTTCATCTTTCCATGATGAAAACAAGCTAATCAAGATAAAATGCTTATTGTGCCGAATTCTGTTTCGCAATCATGCTCGTTTTGTCATTCAGGCACCTCCACGTTTTTTTTTCCACCCAAAAGCCCAAATTACATTGATGGACTCATTCAGTTCATCTTTTGTCACTGCCCGGTCCTGAGCCCTGGATCTGTGTTAATTACATGATCAAAAACTTGTGACCTTAGTAATTGTGATGAAATTTTTTTGCCAAAATCAAGCACCTAATGTTCTACATCTACATCCACATGTAGATCTACATCCACAGGAAACTTTCAGTCACTACAGCCCTGACCCTAACAATTCTTAAGTGGTTCAATTCATACCTGGGTTTTGGTTGTTGTTTTTTGGGGAGTTTTTTGTTGTTGTTGTTTTTTAGGGAAATGGGCAGTAGGGAAAACAGCCCTTTTTTTTTTGTTTTTTACCACAGGGAACGTCACTTAATCATAAACATGATCATCAAAATACTGAAATTTACCTGGAGAAAAAAAACATCTTTAAATATCACAGCACTCACCAGACTACCAGGATCTACCTGAGCATTAACATCCTACAATGGATATTGTGATAGAGCATGATGGAATTATGATACAAGTTTGCAGACCTTCAGTTCTCGTGTCATAATTCTTAGTCCCAATTTTTTGCAGGATCTTTATCTTTAAGATTAAAAGTACCTTTGGATGAATGCTGTTGCTATTTAAATAAAACTGAGATGACAAAGCCAACATGGGAATGTATCTTTTCAATTATTCTGCATGAATGCACTGTTACTGTCCCTACTGGCTTCCCATCGTTCTTTGATGGTATGACAATCAAAAAGGGATTTATTTTCCTTCTTAGTGGTATTAATTTTTAACTCAGCAGAAATATTTTTAATGCCTTTTCTTGATGGCAGGAAATAATTGTGGCACTACAGGCAGTTTAAGGACCTGCCTCATGCTGATGAGAAGAGAAATGAGAATCAGAAAACTACAAGTTCACATAGTATTGGGGATATGATGAAAAATCTGTCATGGTACTTTTTAAAATTCATGGCCATTATTTATTATAATATTTGTTCTCCCTATGTATATACATAAGTGTACCGTGGCTCATTGTTCTGTCAAGATAGTACATAATGTAAACATTTTAATGTCTAAAGCTGTTTGAGCGACATATTAGCTGTCCATCGTCCTATTATGTTTCCTTTGAGATCTTTCTAGAGTTCTTCTGTCATCAGCTTTCGGCACCTTCGAGTATTAATGTAACACGAGAACCCAGGGGTCTGTGTCAGGGCTCAGAAACAGTGGCTATATTGTGTTAGAAAGAAATGATTTGCGGGGGGGTTACCAGAAGGTAACTGGAGGAACTCAGAGGAAGTATTTACTTGCTGCGTGTTCTCCTTCCCTCACACAGAAGCCCTGAACATCCAGCAGAAATTGGACGAGACTACAAAGCTCCTGCGCAACTTGCAGGAAGTTCAGAGGGAACGTCTGAGTGCCAGGCAGCCACCAAACATGATCTGCTTGCTGGCCCCGACTGCCAAGGAGCTGGAGCTGGGTAAGAGCCTCATAGTGCATGGGCGTCTTTGTTCTTCCACTAAAGTCAGCTGTAGACCTCGAACAACACTTCATTTACCTCTGTAGCCTGCATCCTTCACAGGTGTGGTAGACATTGGCCTGATTCAGATCACTGGGACCCCCTTTCCAGAATATTTTTCTTTCAATCAATCAATCTTTATTTATAAAGCACTTTTCATACAGAAATGTAGCACAAAGTGCTTTACATGGTTAAAAGCAGCCCACCCCGCCCTCCAACTCACTCCCCACACTCTCATTAACATAAACGATCATGGATACATACATACATACACACACATCCCCCCTCAGGGTCTGCGAGGGTTCATATGGTAAAAGCAAATGTGAGAGATAAGAAGGCCCAAGACCATTAAGACATTTAAAAACCAATAAAAGAACTTCAAAATCGATCCTGAAACACACGGGGAGCCAATGCAGCGTTTCTAAAACCGGTGTAATGTGGACCCGCCCTCTGGTCTTCGTCAGCACACGAGCTGCAGAGTTTTGTAAAAGTTGTAAAGGTGAAATATTATTTTTGGGGGGACCAGAGAGCAGGGCATTACAGTAATCAATGGACTGGTAATAAAAGCATGCGTCAACATCTCCGTGTTGGCCCGAGAGAGAATAGGGCAGACTCTGGTTATATTTTTTAGATGATAAAATCCAATTTTGGTTACATGTTTAATATGTGGGATAAAACCAAGCTCGGAGTCAAAAATAACACCCAGGTTTTTCACTTGTAGCGAAGGACACAGTGAAAATGCCTGTAATTTAGACAAGAGTTTCTCTCTCTGAGGCTCAGGACCGATGATTAAAACTTCAGTCTTGTCCTGGTTAAGCTGTAAAACATTTTTTGCCATCCAAGATCTTATATCTAAATTACAGTTAAAAAGGGCATCCATTGGTCTGCTGTCTTTAAAAGAGTGAACCCAGCGGGGAAAAAACACATTTTGATGTAACCTGTGCCAAAATTTCTTTTTTAACCACTTAAACCCCCCCCCCCGGTACCGGGGGCAAAAAGGAGGAGATCACGTTTAATCGATTATAACGCTGGTTGAGAAATACAAGTCCAGACATGTGTGGTATCCACAGAAACCTCAGAATCTCAGCCAAAATGTCATATAAACCATTTCTACAACCACCAAACGCACTGGTTAGCTTCCAGGGCTATCACTGACTCCACACACCAAGTTTCACCACGATCAGACCAAAATTCACTGAATGAGCCGCAAAAGAAGACCACAAAAACACACAGTGGCGCAAATGCGCTAAGACAGAAATTGGCTTACCGTCCCAATTTCCTCCGTTATTTTTCGCTGGTAGCCACGTGATTATCAGTAGTTACCATGCCTACCTAGCCACATCAGAGCCGTTTTCCGTCAACAACCTCCATTTTAGACCCACCTACAGACACGTGACTGGACAGATGCAACATGTAGTAAATTTGGGCCCACGTAAGTTTTGGCATTACAACGTCTAAATGGTTGAAGTGACGTGAACTTGGCATCGTTACAGTGAATCTATTGGCTCAAACGATTAAAAAGGTGTCAATCACGCAAATTGACCAAAAGAAACTAAAGTTACAGCCCCTCGGAGTTTAAAGGGCCAGAGGCCAATCAAACGCTCTATGCGCACTGCAGAAAAGGGCCATTACCATGTAAATGTGTGGTTAATTCTTCAAAAATATATTTTTAAAAAAAGCATTTTTAGACCTTATTAATTTCTGCTCTTTAATACCTAAAAAAATCAACTGGCATGGTGTACAATTGTGCCAAAATTGGACATTTTTGTACAACATCTGGATATTCGTGTATTGACAGGGCTGTAATTTTTTCACCGTTTCATTTTAGAAACAAATCTTTGCACAGATGTTGTTTATATGTTGGTTACTGAATTTCTGGAACCAAATGTGATCTGAGCCATATTTTTAAAAGGGTTATAAGCTAAAAAAAAAAAAAAAAAAAATAGGCGAGGATAAAATCTAGTTACTTTTTCTGTGTTCCAGTCTCAGTAACTTTGACACAGTAATATCTGCTTCAATATTTACACCTCTGATGAAATTTCCCAAGTGTTAGCTTTATTTTGATACCAAGATTGTAAGGACAGAGTTTGTAATTGCAGAGAAATAATCAATTAAATTTGGGCATTACATTTTTGAGCAGGAAGCTCAGAAACCCCCTTGGGGCTTAAGAGGCTAAGAGACACATTTTGTGGAAAATAACTTTTATGCTGAATGGCAATACGTAGCTCTCTATTTCAGATGACTTTATAAAATTAAAAAGCGACCTCTAATTTCATAGGCTATATTTACAATTAATAGGGTTTTCAGATAAACGGTTGTCCTTGATCACCATTTAATACTTTTGTGTTTAAAATAACCTCTTTACTCGGTAAATTGTTACTTAGGATGGTGTGACTTCATGCAGTGCTGAACTGAATTGTTACATGCTGTAACAAGTATTTTTCTGATAACTTAAGAGATAGCCTTGTGGAATGCCAGCACAGGCACCAGCCAATCAAATTAAGCCGAGGGAGCTAGTTCCTTATTCAGTTCAGCATCAAAATGTAGGAGACTTTAAACAAGAAACGTCAATTACTGTAAGTACAGTCAGCCACACTAGGCTGATTATCTTACAATAGGACAAGAATGAAATGAATTTCTTTTTGTTTAAATACAATTTCGCAAACCTGCCCATCAGTTTACTCACCGATTTAGGATGATTCATTGATTGCTTCCTTTCCATGGTAGAGCATTTAAACCATATATTTAAGCCACTTCCAGCTATCAACATGTATCAACATATCAGCTTGTTTTTCCTGAGGTCACTTCCTGTAAAGTGACATTTTGTAATGGATGTAACAGTTCATAAGAAATGTGGTTCAGTTCATATCAGTTTTCTTTCTTTCTCTCGCTCGCCGTTTGTACTGATAACTTAATAGTTAGTCATGTAGAATGCCAATACAGGCACCAGCCAATCAAATCATGTTAAGTGTAAAGGCAGGAAGCTATTTCTTTATTCAGTTCACCATTAAAATGTAGGATAATTTAATTAATATAATATAATAACAAGGTTAATAGCAGTTCCGTTATCTTGCCTCAAGTGTTGTCACCATGATAAACATGTCAGCAGCATGCTCCTGCCATCACATTTAACATTATTAGCAGTTTGTTGATACGTCTGTATCTGTGTATTCAACAGTTAATAAATGAAAATTTAAGTAAAGGAGAGATGTGAGAAACACCCTTCAAATATGAGTGTTGCCTGTTTTGCCCACCAGAGGACACTGTTTTTGCAGCTCCAAACACGTTGGCAACAAACAGCAGCTGATCCAAGTCAGAGTATCAATAGATATATAGATTAAAACAAACAAAAAATAACCAGATGTAGGCCTGGTAAATACAACCAGTCATACATCTGTTTTTTTTGTTTGTTTTTTTTAAATCTGCTTTTTCTTAATATCTTAATTTCCTGCTGTCTTCACGTTCATCCTCCTACCTTTACAGCTGAGAAGGTGACATCAAACTTGGCTGAGCTGACTAGTCAGGTGGCCCCATGTGATGTCAGCAGTATCTACGGCATCAGGAAGGCCATGGGCATTGCTGCCCCTCCAGACCCACCTGAGCTCTTCATAGACCTCACTACAGGTAAAAGGCAGTTTCTCTTAAGTTGTGTCAAATGCAGTATGTAACCTTACAAAAAAACAGAAAATTGCAGACGAGAACTTTTCCACGTTTTCAGTGCAGGACACGGCTGAAGCCATGGAGACCAGTTGTCCAGATGTGGTTCCAGTTATCGGTGTGTAATGAAATTCCAAACACCCTCCTTCAGTGTAATAACTTAAGTTTTGTACAAAAAGTGCTTTTTGTGTTACATTTGTATGCTTTTCGGCCAATAAACTTTTTTTAATAAAAACCAACAACCTTGGCTCTTGTGTAACGCTGCGTGACAAACTGCAGACTTAAAACATTTATTACATTCTGTAACTGTACAAAAGTCAATGTCACATTTGTTCACAGAAAGGCCAGTACATTATTATTATTATTATTATTGTTGTTGTTAATATTATGTAACCACAATTACAGACAAAATGTTGGTCTCAGAAGATAAGGCCACAAGACAAGTTTCAGAGGCACAGAAAGTGATCCAGATCAGTTTAAGTGGTCTCTGAGCTGGGGCCAGAAAAAACATTCACAGCAGGCAGGTTGTTAGATCACACAGATCGAGGACATCGAAGAGAGCGTCACAGATACCCTTCATCGCAGCATATATGGAGACAGGCAGGCAAAGATGCTGAAAATGGATTTCTTATCTGAGCAGATTAAACACTTACACAGATGGCATACATAAAGAAAATGTATTTCCTCCTGAAATACAGTACATACCTTAATATTAAATTATTGTTCCTAAGGCCAAACAGCACAGCTGGAATTCCTAAAAGGTCACATAAAGACCACAAAGTGATGGAAACCTAATCTTAATCTGCTTCAGGATTTGCAGTTTAGCCACAAAGTAAAGCTTCCTAGATTTACTTCTATAGATGGGAGCAAGAGAAGTTTCCCTGTCTTCTGCACAGCTGGTTTCTGACATTGAAACAGCTTAACACATTTATGTCTGGCTCATTACACAGTAACAGCAACAGTGTCCATCGCCTCTCAAAACGAAACCCATACAACTTTCAGATTCAAACAGAATCCACTGGAGATTTTTCCCCCTCTTATTTTTTGTTTTAAAAGACCAAAATGGACATCCAAAATCTCAACTGCATTTGGCTTTAGTACAATACACATTTTTTTTCTATCACATAAAATTACAGACATGGAAAATAGTACAAAAGTGATCGATCACTTGTGTCAATGTGTTTGTGACTAGAAAAAGATGGTGATTGTACATACTGACCATCTCCTCAGTCATCTCCTGATCCAACCATGAGATGCTGGGTGTTGAATGCAATATCCACCACACAGCAAATAAGCAGTTCCTTTAAAAATCCTTAATTCAGTAACATCACAGGAACGCAGCTAGCAGGTGCGCATGTGTGACCAGCAGAAGTCTATAAACTAGTTTGTCCCCAGTTCTTTTTGCAGCATTGACCTGGCCTCAGCTCAGACCCATACCTTGCTGCTTGCTCATATCGGTGCACACAAAGAAAGTTTTGAGCTCCCCTTTCCCCTTCACATTGATTAGTCCTCGACACTCGCATGAGTAGCCCAGGTCCTGCAACACGACAGACGTTTCCTCTGTTACCTGAAAGCAGGCAAAGCAAACGGAAAGGAAATTGGATTAGCCCAAATTCAATGAGAGACCTTCCTTGCAGCAAAATCGTTTTCCCGTGACTACATTAAACAATACGCATCTCAGGTGGCACTTTGTCTCTGCTAATGGCTTTGATTCCAAAGTAATTTACATATTTTATCAAGTTAAAGCATGAATAGCTTTTGATCTGCCAATAAATGTGATACAGAGCATAAAGTGCAATTGGAAGAGAAAGAAACAATGTAACGGTTTTCTCAGAGGTGGTTCTCGTGGCTGGTTAAGGACAGGAGGAGTTTATTTTTGCAGCAGTTGAGATAGGTAAGGAAAATAAAACCCGAGTCCAGTTCGAAATTGGATCTTTTGTAAATGTTGAGATATGCTGTGTGAGAAGTGACCATTTGACCTTAAAGAACATACCTGGATTTTTCCCAGCTCTCCAGTGCTCTCCATTCTGCTGGCTACATTGACTGTGTTGCCCCAGATGTCATACTGAGGTTTCCTTGCTCCGATTACTCCGGCTATCACTGGGCCATGATTAATTCCTGTGGAAGAAAAACAAGCCCCCAATATGTTAAAGTTTAATGCTGTATTTTATAATAAAGTCTGTAAAGTTCATGTGCAGTGTTTATAGAGGTAAAATGGAATGAAAATGTAAGGCTGCGGTGACAGAGGATCAGGGGTACCAGAAAAGGTGAAATATTAGGAAGAAATAAAAGAAACATTTTAATGCATTAATACAGTGCTGCTAGTTTGCAACCAGTTTATAATCAAGGCCATTAGACCACAAGAGAAATTTTCTGAGTGGCCCATAAATTTTTAAAAGAAAAGCTTTTGTGCAGCAGATGCTGAAGTACCTGACTAAAAGACACAGACAATACTGTAACTGCTCTTAAAGACATGGTGAGTCTAAAACAGAGTAGGATTTGCTTTGAAAACATGATAGAAATGTAAAAGTTCACAGTAATTATTAAGATGTTTCAGTGCAAAGACTTCACAACTGATCACGCTACTGAAATGAAACAAATTGAGAAATTCTGTGTATTTTAAACCAATATAAAATGGTACCTCTATTGTCTAACTCTGATAAATGCAAGACTATGGGCACCGGCAGAAACACAAGCTTCAAATCAGCATACGCAGGTATTCTGAATCAGATGGATTCAAAATATAATATGAACTGTTTGAAAAACACGCCTACTGGGTTTGAATTTTTTTCAAGTGTTAACAATATTTCTGAAATGCCTGCACTTGTTATTCTGATCTTTCTGACCATCTCCTTCCTTTCATTTTTGTTCTGCTTACCCAATCCAGGGTCAGGGGGTGGCTGGAATCTACTCCTGTTTTCTTGCCATGTATTCTTTTCGTTTTTAATGGCAAAGATAATGAATGCACGTGAGGCATACACTCACATACAAAAGACTGAAGCAAAACAGTGAAGCTACGATTCTCGCTAAAATTTGGTAGAAAGACTGGAAAAACGTTCTGTGGCCTGATGAGTCTTGATTCCTGCTGCAACGATCAGATGGGTCAGAATTTGGTGTAAACAGCATAACAGCAGGGATCCGTCCTGCCTCGTATCAACAGTACAGGCTGTTGGTGGAGGCATAATGGCATGGAGTAAATTTTCTTGGCACGCTTTGAGTCTCTTAGTACCAACTCATCTTTTGATCCCATCTTTTGACAAATGCTTCCAGCAGGATAGTGTACCATGTCGCAAAGCTCGAAGCATCTCAAACTGGTTTCTCGAACATGACAAGAATTTCACTGTACTCCACAACTGGCCTCTACAGTCACCAGATCTCAACAAAACAGAGCACCTTAGGAATGTGTTGAAACAGGAGATTTATGTCAACAAATCTATAGCAACCGTGTGATGTTATCATGTCTATATAGACCAAAATACTCTGGAATATTTCCAGCAGCTTGTTGAAGGAGTCCAATCCAGCACTAGCGACATGAAACTCATAAAATGTGTGGTGAGTCGATACTGGAAGCGAGGCTCGCAGCAGGCATCAAGCCTCATTCTGGCTTGTCGTCAGTCGTTTTAAACTATTGTTTTAACTGGTAGTGCAAAGCTGTTCACAACATTAGGTGACTAACGGGAAACAAATCTTCTAATCAATGAATGTACTCAGGCTCTGAGTGCATTAAAGAGAATGTATATCTTTTTAATAAACACACAAAGGAGGTTTTAAGGTGGTTGCACACAGCCACTGATGAAGAAAAACGATGCCACTCAATTAAAAATTTCACTGTTTGTACTATGTGCATTTTTAACTCCAAAATTGTAAATGTTTTGATTGGTTTTATCATAGATGTCAGGACTGTAGACACAAAAAGGGGAGGATGATGTTTGTCAGACTCTAAAAGGTTCTGGCTCTATATTTGAGTAAAACATTCGCTTCCTGCTATTTGATGGACTAAAGTGGCTCAAGTAACTGATCCGTATTGGTAAAAAGAACCACACAGAATGCAGTAAAAATAAAAGGAAAAGATGTATCTGAAATGATGGGCTCTGTTTCACAAAGCTGAATATGAGAGCTACTGATAGTACTGGACCCAGTACATCCTGAGGTGAATCTGTAACATTTTGCATGTTTGCCTACACGTCTTACCTCTCCTGTTTAACTGCTCAAGAAGATCCTTGTACAGCCTAAGGCTTCTGCTTGAAATTGGCTGCACACAAAAACTGAACTTCCCTTTACAGCACGATCACTTTGAAATTAGACTTAAAGGAACATTTTGTTGTAACAGTTTTCAGTTTTGTGACCTTCTGAAGCTGTGCTGTTACTCCACAGCTCTGCTGCTGTGTCAAAGTTATGTTTTTAAACCAGAACGTCAGTGAGGTAGTAGCTTCAGGATCCATCATAATCAACAAGTTATTGCTGATAAGAAAACAAATGTGACCTTAAGGTTTCAGTACAGTTCGGACCCATTAGGTTATCACAAGTCACTAAATTCCAGTTTCCTTGGCATGGTAAATGGCCTGTTTTTGTATAGCGCTTTACTAGTCCCTAAGGACCCCAAAGCGCTTTACACAACCAGTCATCCACCCATTCACACACTGGTGATGGCAAGCTACATTGTAGCCACAGCCACCCTGGGGCGCACTGACAGAGGCGAGGCTGCCGGACACTGGCGCCACCGGGCCCTCTGACCACCACCAGGACACAACAACCGAGACTGTCCAAGCCGGGGCTCGAACCAATAGAATAGAAGCATTATTGTTTCATTAAGTCCCAGATTGTCACTAAGAAAAGAGGGTCTGCAGGAGAACTTACTATGGCCAGTGACATTTCTCATATAGCGTTCTTCGGTGAGATCTGTTTTTTTTATTTTAAGGTAACTAGGAAAAATACTCCACCACATTACAGTGGAGTAATTTATGCATGGCTCAACCTGATATAAAGTGGGAACTGCTTTAACACGAAGAAAATGCCTCAACTCCAGAAATTCTGTGACTATTTTTATAGGCATGAGCTTTTAACAACCTGTGTCAGTGAATGCTAGTACTCTCACTGCAAGAACAGTACATGAATGCCAATCATGTACTGAGTAACCAAGGAAACCTGTGCCAGCCTTAACAGAGATGGAGGCTGCACAATGCAGTATTTATTGAATTAAAGGTTTATGCACACTCACCCACACGAAGCCTGAAGCTAT